GAGGGTCTTGGGAGAGCAGGCTTTTCTGTCCAGATGTGTCTTTTTAATAAGATCTCCAACAGCAGGCAACTGGATCCATCAGGACAGCACCTGGATCCATCAGGACAGGAAAACTCTGAGCAGAAGGACGAGGTTTCTCAATCAAAGTGTGTAAAGTGACCAAAATCTCTTCGATTTGTGATGTAGGATTTTCTCCTCTCACCCTTCCTGGCCAACTTAGGAAGGTGTTGAGCTTCTTTCCTTGGAGGCTTTAGTGCTCTTTGAAGAGTTCCCAGCCAAGTTCTTTGCTTCTGGGATCCCCAGGTGAGATGAGGCTTTTCCAGCCCTCAGCCTTTCCCAGTTCCCATGTTTTGGTGCCTCTGACACCAGGATATCTGCCATGGAGGTTGTGCTTTCCCCATCCTGGAAAAAAAAAGTGTAAAGTTAAACTGCAACTGGACAAAAGTATTTAGAGGTAGCAAATTGCTGTCACTGTAAAAGGAAAACATGAGAAATGGAAACGTGATATTTATGTTAATACAAAGTTTTAAAAATTTAATTTAAGAGACCAGCTGTTTCTGCTTCTCTTGTAAGAGCTTAATTGGTATATAATAGCATAGTTAATTAAATACAAATCAATAGTTTAAACCAGCTAATTGATATTTAATATGTATGGGAAAATATAACTTAGTTGTAATATCATTAACTCAATATTAAATAAGCAATGGAATTGCAATTATGCCTTTACAACGATTGTAAAGTTTATCGTTCTTTAATAAACTTGCAATTAGACAGGGTGAGCTGAAAAATTATTAAACAGGTATTATTGGGCTATTAAACATTTATTATCATTCCTGGTGGGATACAGCTACACAATAGTAGACATTATGACTATGTTAATAAACCCTTATTACTGCTCTGCAGCTTTAGCCTTGAGTGCCCCGGTGATCAGAAACCTCCTGCCCTTCCTGAGCAGAGCAATTGCCTTGGAATTGAGTGAGGAAATCCCAAACACTGGGAGAAACCAGGAAAAAGGAGGAGGATTCCACAGTTTGGGCCAGTGCTGGGAGATCATTCTTCCAAAACAAACTTTCACCCCGATTTCCCACCCTGAAGATTTGTTTCTTGGAGACCCTGAGCTCTTGTTTCTTTAAATTGGCTTTTGCTTTGTTGTCACTGGCAACATGTGGGTTTAACTTGGTTCTGATTTGTCTGACGAGTGGCTCTTGTGCCAGTTTGAAGTTTTATTGATGAAGGTTCCTCTGAGTGAGTCAAAAACAGGGCCCTGCCGTGTGTTTTCCAACCAGGACCCTTGAGCTCCCACTTCTTCACGGTGCCTGGGATGGTAAACTTCAGCTGAAAGTAGTTTTGCCCTGCTGGGAAAATTCAACTGCTGTTGCAAGGCAATGGATGGGATTGTTTTGGGAGAGTGAGGGATATGTATGGGTTAAAATATTGTGTTTTCAGTAAAATATTGTGTTTTCAGTGGTGTCTCAGCAGCCCCCCTAAAGCCGAGACATTTAAAATGCTGGGTACCTGCTTAAATATTTTAGCTTTAGGTAGCCACTAAAAGCCATGAAATGGTGAGACATCCTCAGGCAGCAGAGTAATCTTGAAGTATTTTACCTTTTAAAGGCGCTCTCAAGTATTTAAAGGTGCCTTTAGCTATAAAGATTTTTGCATGTTCTCACAAATTTATGGTATGAATTATTATAATGCGGTGCTTTTGTACAGCTCCTTTCATCATGGGATATCAAAGTGGTTTATAAGTGTTAATTATAGCACCCCTCGGGGAGGCAAGTGGGAAATAGGCACCCACACCAGTGTGTGTTGATCCAGGCTCCAGATGGGTAATAACCCACATTTCAGCTGCATCCAGCCCGTGGGGCTCAGCCCTGAGCCTCCCTCCCTGCTCTGAGGGCTCAGCTGGGACTGGGACTCTTGGGTAGCTCAGTCACTGCCTTGGCCAGAGCCCCACGACCTCCTTTTGGGAGCATTTTCTCCCTGCAATGGGAAGGTGAGAGCTGGACATGGGAGTGGTGGGACAGTCACCCCCCAGGGACACTGGAGCTGCTGCTGCCCCCATGGATGCTGTGCTGGGGATGCTCTGGGGCCCCAGTGTTAGGAGGACCTGGAGCTGCTCGAGTGACTCCAGAGGAGGCCACGGAGATGCTCCGAGGGCTGGAGCCCCTCTGCTCTAGAGTCAGGCTGGGAGAGCTGGGGGGGTTCACTTGGAGAGGAGAAGGCTCTGGAGAGACCTGAGAGCCCCTTCCAGGGCCTAAAGGGGCTCCAGGAGAGCTGGAGAGGGACTGGGGACAAGGGATGGAGGGACAGGACACAGGGAATGGCCTCCCACTGCCAGGGGCTGCCCCATCCCTGGAAGTGTCCAAGGCCAGGTCGGATGGGGCTTGGAGCCACCTAGTCTGGCAGAAGGTGTCCCTGCCCACGGGAGGGGGTTGGAACGAGATGAGCTTTAAGGTCCCTTCTAACCCAAACCATTCCATGATTCTGTGCTCCCGATGGTGTTTGTGGCCCTGGGCCATGGAGGGTGTGGCAGCCCCTGCTGTGCCAGCTCTGTGTCAGGCACAGCATCCACAGCCAGGCCCACGAGTGCAGGGCTCAGTCAGCCAGAGGAATTCTGGCTTGCTCGACTCCTCTGTGGGCTGTGCTGCCCCGTGTGGCACTAATCTAATCGTGTTGTTTTAATTACACTTTGATACCTTGGTGCTGGTTGAAGGCTCAATAGTGATCGATGGGGTTTTGTTTTCCTATCAATGAGGACATAAAGGCTCTCACCTGCTTTGCTGGCTCGGCACAACGGCCCCGGGGGCTCTGGGCAGGTCACAGCTCCTGCCACATGCACAGGGATTGTCTGTCCCCACAGCAACCCTGAAGCCCTGTATGGAAACCCCACCCCACAGCCAGCAAGGTCTGATGGATTCCAGTTATCAGACAGGATGAGGGAGGTGACCTGTGCTGGGTGTCCTTCAGCTAAACCAGGGCTAAGGGAGGTGACCTGTGCTGGGTGTCCTGCTAAACCAGGGCTGAGGGGGGTGACCTGTGCTCGGTGTCCTTCAGCTAAACCAGGGCTAAGGGAGGTGACCTGTGCTGGGTGTCCTTCAGCTAAACCAGGGCTGAGGTGGGTGACCTGTGCTGGGTGTCCTTCAGCTAAACCAGGGCTGAGGGAGGTGACCTGTGCTCGGTGTCCTGCTAAACCAGCAGGTCTTTGCAGTCAGGAGTGTTGGGGGCATCCAACGCTCTGCAAGGGGACCCCTTTCTTGGTGTGTTTGTGGTTGTGGACTTGGTGCAGGTCACAGTAGATCTCATCGCCTCTGTCCTGCAGAGCAAGAGGGCTGCTGTCCACTCATTGCCCCTTCCTGTTGATTAGGGCTCTGATTCAAGACACCACTGAGAGTTCTGACAGTCAGTTCATCTGTCCTGACTTGTCTAATCTTTAGACATCTTTAGATCAGAGTTAGTCACCGCCCTTTACGGCCAAAAAGTGAGTTACAAGCCCCTCAAAGTCACTCTGGTAGGTGAGGTGAGTCACTTTGTGGACGTGCCTGTTTCTCCCCAGGGCAAGGTGTATTTAGAGGAGCAATTATATTCCAGCTTACTCTGAGCTAAGACTTACTTTGCTGAAATTACACCTGATTTATGTTGGTTAGATGCTGCTGTCCTCCCTGCTGGCAGCCTTAGGACCAGAAGCTGTTGGTCCTTAGCCTCCTGCAAGGTGGGATCCTGTTTAATGTTAGAGAAAGTGCTTTAACTAGTCCTGCGTGTGTGTACCCTGAGTGTCCTGGGGTCCAAAGAAATCTGTTTTTTTCTGGGCTTAGGCTCAAATTCTTCCTCATCCTGTGCTCAAGAGGAGGCTATAACCACTCCACTGGGATGCCATGGCAGTGAGCACTGTTGGAGAGGGATGCTGTGTATCTGGGTCTGTACCCATGTCAGTCTGGGTGTCTCCCGTGACACTGCACATCCCATCACGCCGCAGCGAGCGACTCCCCTCTTCCTCTGGGCTCAGTCCCAACCTGCCATTCAACCCCAAGTTTGCATCATGGCACTAATGCCAAGGCTGCCAGGCAGCTCTTGCTCTGCTCTACAGCCACCTCTGTGCTCTCCACCCTCCTGCTTCGCTGCCTTCCCCTCGTGCGTGCGACACAACTTCCCAGCACTCCTTCCCCGGCTCTGCACAGTCCGCAGCCACATTAAGTAAACATCAAAGGGGCTTTGATCAGCAGGGCTCTGCAGAGCACAGAAGCCCCCGAGGAGCTCTGCAGGTCCACAGGCAGCATCGGGGACACGGTACCTTAATTTTCTGCGCTGTGACACAGGAGGATTTGTTTGAAGAACGAGAGCTCTGAGTGGCGCACGGGGAGAGCGCGTGCGCAGCCGCTTCTGGAAAAACCCACGCTCACATCTCTCTCCCTCTGTTTGTCACCAAGAGTCAAAAAGCCCCATTAAGAAATCAAGGCATCAAAGGCGTGTGCCTCCTCAGACTCTGGCACTCTGCTGCTCGTGGGGTCACTTGCTTGCTTCTAAAGAGCAAGATTCCTCAGGCCAGACTTATCTTCCCTCCCGAGGGCCATTTCCCGTTTTGCTTTGCTGCCCACTAAGGGAGAAAAGGATCAAAGAGTACATGTTGTGCTGTGGAGGAAGATGCAGCTCCTTCCCTCACTTGGAACAGAGGAGTAATTGAGAAACAGGCATGGGAGGGGTTGGTGACCCTCCTGTCTCTCGATACACTGGCTCAGGAGCCCAGCAAAGCTCAGCCCAGTGAGGCTGACCAAAGAGTTCAGTTCCAGGCCCACCTCGCTGGTGCTTTACCTGAATGGTGTCTCCAGCAGGATTTGCTCCCTGCAGCATTCCCGGGAGCTGCTCTTGTCCCCAGCAGGATTTGCTCCCTGCAGCATTCCCAGGAGCTGCTCTTGTCCCCAGCAGGATTTGCTCCCTGCAGCATTCCCAGGAGCTGCTCTTGTCCCCAGCCTGGTCTAACACCACGCTCTCTTCTCTTGCAGAACTGGGGCTCCCAGGAAGAGGATGCTGCCTAGTCCTGGGGTTCATGTACAAGGAGAAGTACCGCAGGATGACTGAAGGTGAGCAGTTCCCTCACCTTCTCTTCCTCCTCCTCTTCAGCCATCTCATTGCCAGGGCTGTCCCTGCTAGGAATGATCCACGTTCTTGTTCACACTGAGGAGAAAATCCTGCTTTCCCTTTGATCTGTGGAGCATCTTAGCAGGCATGGATGAGGGAAGTCCCCTGTGTGAAGCTGCAAGAGAAGAGCAGGAGCTTAGTGGTTCCATACATCCAAAATCCACTGTCTTTTCCTTTGGAAAGGATTTGTCACATGGGAAGCTCTTTCAGCAATTGCTGCATCTACTCTTTTTGTTCTAGTTGGGTGGTAGTGCCTCACCACGACACTTCCAGAATCCCTCTTTCCAGTGGCTTTGCACCCCTCAGAGGCACCATTCCATTGCTCATCAAACTCCTGCTAAAAATTCCCTGTTTTATATTCTAGTCATTCCCCGAGTACTTTATGAGCATTGATTAATCCATAGAAATATCATAAATAATTATGAAGTGTAATAACTAAACAAAAACTATTTATGCTCGGAAGAAGTGGCATCCTTGCTTCTGGCAGCTTCTGTTCCTGGAGCAAACCCTGGCACAGCAGCTTCTGATTAATGCTGGGTGAGAGCAGGACCACAGATCCCCGAGCCCTGGAAGATGGGAGGGTCTCCAGGATGTGTCAAGGAGCGTTTGGCTGCTGGGAGGCCACTCTGGGAACCACAAACTTGACCCAAGTGTGGATTTAACCCTTCTGGGGGGCTTAGAGTGGAAATAATGTAGACAAAGAGTGTGATTTCTTGCCCTACTGCACTTCCTTTTCTGGAAACATCCACAGTCAGGCTGGATGAGGCTCTGAGTAACCTGGTCCAGGGGAAGGTGTCCCTGCACATTGCAGGGACTAGATGAGCTTGAAAGATTCATTCCAACCCAAACCATTCCATGATTCCTTTTCCCTGTGGGATGGCCGATCACCAGCAGATAGCCATGGATGTGTCTGTTCTCACAGGAAGCTTGTCTTCCTGAGAGTAAAAGGTGAGTTTGTTTCCACGGAGTAAAACTCTTGGAGAGGCAAGTTTATGGCTCAAATATCAGTTAGAAGATCAAAGGTTCCTTCACGTTCCCGGGAGCCCTGATACTGAGCTGATAACATGGGGAAAGTACTTCACAAGGCTTCACCTCCTGCTTGTTAATTACCACATGCTCTTTAAACATTGATTAGAGGATGTTTTTAACTGGAAGGAGCCGTCCCCTGGGAGATGGGATGGCAGAGTCTCGTCCGAGCGCTGTGAGAAGGGGCAGTTTCTCCCTCTCTCAACACCTTCCTGTCCCTCAAACCTCTTGGAGAGGCTGTGCCCAGATGGGCACCCTGGGGATGCTCACAGGGTGTCCATGAGCTGGCAGGACACTCTTTGGATCCTGCCAATCCTTTGGGATCGCCCTGGTTCCCCGGTGCATTCAAAGTCTACAACGTGAGCCCCCCTTTCAGGCTGAGCAGGGCTTTGTGTGGGGAGAACAAAGGAACATGAAAGGCCAAAAGTAAAGCTTTTGTGTGGGAAAGGGAACAAAGTGTTCCTGCCTGACTGCAGCCAGTTTCTGGCCCCTGCAGGCTGCAGGGCCATTATGTTTAAAGGTACAATCTGCCAAAAAACAAAAGTCAGGGGGATTTCCATGGCTACAAAGACCACCCAGGAGTTGTGTTTTCGCTTGAAGCGGCTCTGGATGACAATTGCAGACCTGCAGCCTCCCGGGTTTTTGGTGGATTGCAGTGCAGCCCCACACTCTGTGTGTGAGCTGGGGTGGGGTCAGGTGTCTGGTCACCTACAGAGGTACCAGGAAGGACTTACCTGCCCAAGGTGCCTGAACTGGCCTCTTGGAACCAGTTCCCTTGTAAGGATGAGGACAGAGATCGATTCCCTTTTGTATTTTTGCCAAGGAAGAGCTTTTTCTCCCTTTTATTGCATGATGGTGCTAATGAACAGCCCTATTAATGATTGCAAGGGAGCTGAAGGAGCTGAAAGCACAGCTAGGGAGTGGGGCAGTGGGATAATTGTGAGGTGTGGGGTCTCCATCTCAGTGGAAATGGGTAATTACAGGGATCATTGGAACCTTGCTGTCACTCAGTGGAGACATCTACAAATCACTTGTAGGCAGAGAAGCACAAGAGGACTTAGAGGCCTTGGAAGTGTGGAGGAAACAATTCGTGGTGGGAAATCACTTAAGTTGGATATGAGGAAAAGGTTCTTCCCCCAGAGGCTGATTGGGCACTGACCAGGCTCCCCAAGGCAGTGGGCACAGCCCCAAGGCTGCCAGAGCTCCAGGAGGGTTTGGACAATGCTCTCAGGGACAGGATGGGGTTGTTGGGGTGTCCTGTGAAGAGCCAAGAGCTGGACTCAGTGATCCTGTGGGTCCCTTCCAGCTCAGGATGTTTTACAGTTCTGTGGAAGTGTTTCTCTTGGCTGTCCCCATGAAGAAGATCCAGGCTGGACTCTTGCAGACCAGCCTGGCAACCTCTCCCAGCGGGGCAAAATAAATGTTGTGGGTTAGAGATGCTCTGTGGACATGCCCAGAGAGGGTCTTCAGTGACATTATGTTATTTGTTCTCCAGCTGGCAGGGGATGGGTGTCCATCAGCCCAGCTGAGAGCAGATGTGGCTCTTCCAGCTGAGCTGGACTCCAGGGCAAGGAGCCAAAAGCAGTGTCTGTGAACTTGCCTCCGTCCATTTTAGTTCCATCAGTCCTTCATGTCAGGGTGTATCAGTGTCTGTGTAGTGAACAGACTGGTCTGGGTGTGGTGTTGGTGCCTCTCCCAGCTGTCAGGGACCAACAGCCTGGGCTTCTGCCACCCTTGCTGATGATGGGCACAGCAAACCCAACCTGGGTCCTCTCCTTGCTCTGCTGCCCCACACTGGGTGTGACCACCTCCTGCTTTATTGCTTCTGTGAGACCCACACTGGGAAAAGTGCTGGATTTGGTGATGAAATTGGGGTGTATTTGGCTGGAGAGCAGGAAGGTGTTGCTCCAGCATGGCTGTTCTACGCTCTACCCTTCACTGGGATTGATGATGGGCTCATCTGAGTGCTGGGCTCAGGGTTTGGTGTGTGCTGGGCTCACATTTGGTGTGTGGTGGGAGCTGTTGGGTGAAATTAGGCTGGTGACAGTTGTAGGCAGAGGGAGAGGCAGAGCTGTCTGCAATGACGGCCTTGCAATAAAGACACTTTGGAGTTAATCCTCCACCATCTGTCTTCATTCTGCTAATAACCCACTCAATCAGCTGCTGCCGACTGTTTGTTAACATTCAGAAACAGATACATAATCAGGAGCAGGGAGCTGTTTGCTCACAGGGGGCTGCATTCCTCCCTGGGAATGGCTCTCCCATGGCCCTGACAGTGGATCAGTGGAGCCATGGATGTGGGCTGGAGGTCCCAAGGCATGTGCCGTGTGGAGGTGATGCTGGGGCTGGCAGTGATCCGAGTTATCCTGCTTTCCCCAGGGCTTGTGCTGCCCTGACTCAAGGTGATTTTGAAGTAGAAAGGTGTTATGTATGAGTTGGGTCACCTTAGTCCACCAAGAACAAGGATCTTGAACTACCTGGAAAATTTGGGCTTGTTTTTCTGTTCCCACTTCTTCCCATGCAGTTCCCTTCCCAAGAGCAGGCGAGGGGTGTGCTGGAAAATCTCTCTGCTGTCCTGTCGTGCTTGGTCCCTGCCTGCCCATAGCTGCAGGCTGGGTTGCTCCTCTCTCCTCTGCGGTGTTCCAGGCAGGAATTCAGACGTCGATCTCACTCCTGTGATTTTTCTTCTTCTCTCCTGCCTTTGACTGCTTGCCAGATCTAACTCGAGTCATTAGCAAGCGTCACTGCAGCAATTATGGCACTTTTTGGCTGCCATTCATAAAGGTACTAACGGGAATGATTTAAGTACTGAGAGATGTCAGCCCTCACCTTCCCCACCTGTTCCCGCCAGCCTGGCTGCTGGAAGGTGCCTCCAACCATCTCCCTGCACTCAGGGCAGCTCCCTTCCTTCCTCTGACCTCCCTGTCCAGGCACTTGGCTGGCTCTTGGTGGGTGACACCCCTGTGGGATGGACACAGCTCGTGGAGGGGATGGGGGGGGTCCATCCTCATGCCCTGAGTTGGGTGGTGAAAGCAGGTGTGGCCAGGAAAAGGGACAGAAGGACTTGGTGCAGCATCTTCCCCCTGGACCAGCTCATGGTTGATGGTGTGTGCTCAGGGAAGGACAATCCCTTCTCTTCAGATGGATGCAAACACTGGCTGGTGTGCCAGGAGAGCCTGGTGTGCCAGGAGAGAGAGCCTGGTGTGCCAGGAGAGCCTGGTGTGCCAGGAGAGAGAGCCTGGTGTGCCAGGACAGCCTGGTGCCGCAGTTCTCTCTGGCAGCAGCCGCTCCCCGTTCCTGCCGTGGCTGGATCTGCAGTCAAGGTGTCTCCACTCACTGCACAAAGCACAGCAGGACCAGCAGCCAGTGCTGCAGAGCTGCAGCTCCACACAGCAACCAGGGCTCTGCCTTCGGTTGTGGAGGGTGAGCTCAGCAGCTGGGATTTGCTGGGAAGTGGCTGCAGGAATCTGCTCAGGAAAGGGCTGCCCCAATCCCAGGGGGACATTTTGCTTTAAAGGCCACATGGGGCTGTTGGGCACCATGAGGGAAACCCTCAATTTTGGGAGTGGACTTGAAAGATTTGCAGTCTGAGCTCAAATCTCGCCTTGACTCGTCTGTTGTGAAGGTTTGGGGTCTTATTTAAAGGTGCTGGGACTGATGCAAAGCTCTGCTGTCTCTTGTTCAGAGAATCATAGAAAGGTAAGGGCTGGAAGGGGCTGAAAGATCACCTATTCCCAAGCCCCCGTGCCATGGGCAGGAACACCTCCCACTAGACCAGCTTTCTCAAAGCTTTATCCAACCTGACCTTGAACACTGCCAGGGTTGGGCCACCCACAGCCTCTCAGTTCCAGTATCTCATTACCCTCACAGTGAAGAATTCCTTCTTAATATCCAGCCTGAATTTCCCCTGTTTCCC